CCCGCAAGCTCCATCCCTACCCTTCTAGGTCTTCTTAGCGAGTATGGAAGGGTTTCCTACTATAAGAATAACATTACTAAGACGCAAGCACTACCAATCAACCTAACGCACCAAACGCAAACGCAGCTCTCCTCTGACTACACCTTTGACTGGCGTAAAACGTCTCTCACTTATCTGGGGATCAAACTGACGAAATCCCACCAGACCGTTCTTAAAGAAAACCACTACCCTGTCATACACAAACTAAAATCGACCCTAGAACAATGGGAAAACCTAGAGATATCCTGGCTGGGCCGGGTAAATACGATTAAAATGATGGCTCTGCCCCATATTTTATATCTCTTCCGTACGATACCAATACCACTGCCCAACAAATTAATAAAATTAATGCAATCTGTTATAAATGCGCATGTCTGGAAACGAAAACCCCCGAGAGTGGCCCAACGAAACCTGAGCTTTGCTTTCACCAAAGGGGGGCTGGGACTACCTGATATTAAGACGTACTACAGGGCATCGATTTTAGCACAGGGAGTACGCATACTGAGACTTCAAGACAGCTCCCCCAAGACACTATGGCTCACACTGGAAGATGCCTACCTGCACCCACATAACACGTCCCACACATTATGGGCCAGCGCCCCCACCAACTCTGACGGAACGTACCTCCCACGGTGCTCCAGATTTCTGCTGAGCTCGTGGCGAACCTGGAGTCATCTAATATTAGACCCACATTTGCTCTTCAGGGAAGCTCCCCTAGGGATCCTGACCATATTCTCTCCAGACCTACCTATGGCAAGCTGGATAGCCAGGGGAATACACAGAGTTAAGGACCTACTAGAGGGAAACGAACTCAAACTGTTCCCTGATCTCCAGAGGGAATTCTCCCTGTCCCAAAGGGATGTGTTCCTCTACCTTAGAACTAAAAACATACTGTTACTACACATACGCAAACCTAGTACAGGGTCCATGAACCCGCCCCTACCACTCAATAGGGCTCTCACCGCTAAGCTTGGCAAACCTCTATCCATGTGCTACAACGCTCTCCTGGAGCCAAATCCCTGTGAGAAAAGATCCTATATGAAGCAATGGGAAGGGGAACTGGGATACCAACTAACTCTGGCACAATGGTACGAGGCACTATCCAATACAAAGGGCGCTTCCAAAAGCCTCTCGCTGTGGGAAGCATATTGCAAAATAGCCATGAGATGGTACCTAGTCCCACATAGACTAGCAAAGATTTACAAGGGCACATCTGGGCTCTGCTGGCGCTGTGAGGGGGGAGCGGGTACCATGCTACACATGTTCTGGGACTGTCACGCACTAGGTGCATACTGGACACAGATCCAAAACCTTATTTTGAACACTACAGGTCTCCTTGTTCAATTGCGTCCAGAACATTACCTGCTACACATGATTCCTGGTCTGTCATCACACCCCCACAAGGTAGTACTGATAAACATCCTCACAGTAGCAAAAATCTTACTAGCACAAAACTGGAAAAGCCAGACAATACCTACCATGGCTACACTCATGGAAAGAGTGGATGTCATAAGCTCCTACGAGAGGATGGCTAGTAGGGTACAGGGACAGGAAAGAAAGTACGCTGGGAAATGGGCAAGTTGGAACCTTAGGACATGAGTATCTCCCCATGTAGAGCACTCACCTCAGATAATACTTACCTCACAGCTGAAAGCTAAAATACTGGGAAGAAAAACTGGGAATCCTAGATCTCCCCACCCCACCCAAATTACGGTCTCCCCCAACCCCCCCCCCCTGTGTTTCCATTCCCCATCCCCTTATAAAAGGCCGACCACCCCAAACGACAAACTGATCACTACATGGTTTTGCAGTCAAAGCATTTCTAGGGGCAAATAATATGCCCATATCACAATGCAAGCAGAGAAACGGATGTATCACAAGCTGTACGAAGTATCCACTGTAAACAATGAACCATAATGACGGCATGTATATCTGTAATGCAATAATGCACATACCTGTTGAAAGTATCTGACTGTAACGCAATATGTTTTCATGCTGTTGGCAAAAATAAAAACTAAATATGGAAAAAAAAAAA